GAATTGCAGCTCGTCCAGAAATACCCTGCTTGTGGAGTTCCCTTCGTACTGTTTTGTTGCTGACAGGGTTTGTGAGCGTGACATTCAGTTCAGCAGTCACTTTTGCAGCTGTAGTCTTCTTATTTTTCGTCACAATCCTAGGCAATGTTCGTCTGTCTCGATCGCTCAACACACATTTCCGTCCACGCTGGTGTTTATCGGATGTGGTTTCTTCAGTCCTCCTGTAAGCGGTCATAATCTTGGATACTGTGCCTCGCGAAACACCAAAAACCTCGGCTACCTTGGTTACGAAAGCACCCACCATATGGGCCCCAACAATTTGCCCGTGTTCGAATTCTGTTAGCTCTGACGTGATGCACAAAAAATTGCACAGAACACTGTCTCGACAACAAATGCAGCTTGCAACGTACTGCGGAGGTTGTACAGGTAGTGGTGTGGCAGATAAGACAGCGTGACCTACAAACATCGCTAAAATAAACACTTCAATTCAGGCATGCATTTCACGAGGTGTTTCCATATTTTTGTCCATCCCCTGTATAATAACAGTGCAGGGTGGAAACAGGAATGGAGGAATGAAGAGATAAGGGAGGTAGGAAAGAAATATCACAAGAAAGGTGGAGAGGCATAGAAAAAAGCATAGAACGAGAACCAAAGAAAAGGAAAAAATGCAGAGAATGAAAGAAAGGCGAGACAGAGAGAATAAAAGAAAGAAGGAAAAATAGAACTAAAGAATCTGAAAGAACAAAGGATAGAAAAGACGATAGAAGAAGGGAAGAAAGGGTCGATAGAGAGAAGATAGGAGGAAAAGGAAAAGAGGGAACGGAAGGAAAGAGGAAAGATATAAAGAAAATGCAAGGAAATATAAAAAAAAACAAGAAAACGAGAAAGAGAGAGAGGAACTAAGGGACATAGAACGAAGATGCTGGCTTCGAATCTCATCTAGACTGTCGGGGCTTGAAAAGCAACAGATTTCTCTCTACTCTGGCGTTCTACAAACCGGCTCTGGGGCCCAACCAGCTCGCTGTCCATTGGGTACCGGGGGCTCCTTCCCCCAGAATAAAGCGGCTGGGCCGTGAAGCTGACCACCCACCTCCATTTAATGTCGAAGTCAAGAATGGTGGAGCTATACCTCCGCTCCCCCATTTGTCTTCATGACATACTGCACAGGGACAACTTTACTTACGTTCGGGGCTACACGCGTCAACCGAACTGTAAATTTAGAACTGATCTGCAGTAAGAGCGGGAAATGCGGATTGGTTTCAACTGGCTCAGAGTCGGGTCCATCTGCGGGATGTAATGAAAATGGTTATGAGCCGTGGGCCCTCATAAAAGGGGGGAATTGCTTGACGAAGTGAACAATCAGCAGCTTTCTCAACACTATTAGGTACCATGGACTTCGTTATTTCAATTAATCAGGGAGGAACTATTGTTCTGTATGGTCTCATATTTTTAAAATTGATAAAAGTAAAAATTGTCTCTGTGCTTAACTAATTAAACACTACTCTATGAAGGCGTATGCGGTAGTGGATGTATAGAACCACGTTTTCTTGGTCTCGATACTAGTTGGAGGTGAGCCGTCAGCTTCATAACCCGGCCGCTTCATCCCCGGCGAAAGAGCGCTCGGAACCCACTGGATAGGAGGCTGGGTGGGCTCCAGAGCCGGTCTGGACAATATGGAAAGCGAAAATTCTTGCCCTCACCGGAACTCAAACTCTGACCCCTTTGGTCGTCCAGCCCATAGCCAGTCGCTATACCAGCTCTTAAAATTGGTACAAGACAAAATTTATATATCACATGTTATTCAAATAATATCTTCCACGTGTTTCTTATATAAAAATATATTTACGTTTGTATAGATACAACAAAAGCAACACAGTTTGAGGTACATGAATAGTAACTATGTTAGTTATGCAATTATTTTATACAAAAATACTACGCACTAGATTCCACTCTGACAGGAAAAGAAGACAGAGAAGCATTGGCTGTTCAAGATCCCGCATTAAAGTTAAAGGACCAAAGTAAACAGATTGCCTAACATCTGTGAGCTACAAGCTATAAGAATCTATTAACTGTTAGTTTGGAACTAAATAAGCCTTCGGGAAAGCGTCACGCATGGAGAGACATGTTTATAATGTTACGATATTGCATTTGAACTTGTCATACATTGTAATGTTAAAATATCATACAACCGGCTCATTATATATTGTCAGTGAATATTATTATTTTACCGTATTTAATATTTCGTTTATGTATCCCAGTTAGATTCTTCAAGAGTGTGACATGGCATCTTAATGTACTCACAAACTAAAGCATACAGTACTAATAGCAAAACTTCTCTGACGCTGATTGGTTTACCACTCATCACGTGGCATAACTACGGTGACCTGTCGTCCTTTAGTTCTTTCAGACTTTCAGTGTAGTGGAATTAACACGTGTCATAGGAGTTACCACTTATTTCGATATATTTCAGGAAATGGTACTTGAGTCATGCGCGATACCAGGTAGATACTGTGTTGATAGTTAAGCTGGAAAGCAAGTTATCTTAACCATAGTAATGCCCTCGGGCATGCGCATGAGCGGCGAAGTGGGCAGCCTTGGCCGCAGCGACCTCGGGAGTGTCAGCAGGGACGCCGTTCACGATGACCGGAACCCCTGCAAGCGGGCCGGTATAGTGCCCACCATAATGGCCGCCATAAGCACCCGTGTCTGGTGCAGCTGCCGCAGCTGCTGCAGCAGCGTTGTAAGCTGCGAAGTGGGCAGCTTTAGCGGCGGCCACTTCCGGTGTGTCACGGACGGGCAGGGGTGCGGCGTGGGGAACTCCGGCAGCGTAAGGGTAGCCGTAGTATCCGGGACGGGCGTACACCGTACTGATAGCCACCAGGCAGAAGAACGTCGGCTGAAACATGCATATATTGAGCGGTAGTGAAGGAGAAATGTTGGGAGAGAGTTGTTTACCCTGTAACCAGCCAAATGCCCAGTCAGAACTGAAGCCCAAAACTTAAAGACCGAGGAGGTGTTGCCTCATCTCAGGGAGCGGTGGTATACAATACAGAGCAATTGTAGAATTGAGATTGGCAGGGGAAAACCGAAAAAACTCGAAGAAGAACCTGCTCCATTGTCAAGTCGTCCACCACTATTCGCTCATTTGATGTCTCCCGGGATTGAACCGAGGATGCCCGTTGAGATGTCTGCGTGTAAATACCCGAGATGTATTGAAATAAGTCGGAAAATGGATAGTTCAGTCGGGAAAGTGACTGGTATCGGACTTTAATGTCTAGGTTTGATTACCGGCAAGTAAAGGAACATTTTTGGCCAAGCCATAGCTCAAGCGGTTAGTCTTAGTCGATGGCATCCCACCGCGGCGGCCCGGGTTCGATCCCAGGTCTGGTCAAGTGGGGTTTGTGGTGGACAAAGTGGCGCTGGGGAGGGTTTACTCCAAGTACTTCGGTTTCCCCTTCCAATATTCATTCCACAAAATTCCCCATCATCATAATCACCCGGGGCAGGCTAGAATAGGGCAATCAGTGGCCGCCGTGCCGAGTGGACCCAGTTGGACTCCACCCCCCACTAAGCGAATTAAAAGAAAAAGGGACCCATTTTACATCAATAGGCCCATGCTACCTCCTGGCCACATTAAACCTCTTTTCTAATGAAAAGCGGAGCTAAATCGATTGACGTTTCCTCCACTTAGTGTTTTAGTGTGCCTTCATTTCCAGGCTCCTGTGTCTCCGTTTAAATAATACGGGTAAGGGTCAATAAATAGGTCACAGCTTGAAGTAAAACAGGTATAACGGCTTTCTATGTTTATCATTAGTCAGGAACATAGTCCAGCTTGATGGTAGTGTAGGTAGCAGATGCGCATGCTTATGTGTAGAGGCTGGTTTCAGTAGACAAAATGGCGACCGCTCTTGAGGATTGTGCTGCCGAAAAGCAGCGTGCTGTTGTGTCTCTTATGGACGAAAGGATTTCATGCAAAGGCTATTCATAAACAAATATTTTCTGTTACTGTATCGTCTGGGGAACTTACAAAATTTATTTCTTTTTAAACAAGTATGTCAGAAAACAGAGTCAAGCATGATTTACAAGTAAGGACCATGCGCAATATCTCATATATTAGAAATGTTCATACCACAAATTTGTTTAAAATATCATATACCTATTGTACTAAATTTGTAGAAAGCTAGCTGTCCCTCTAACAGAGCATGGAGGCCTATAGAGTTCTGAGACGTTGAGGCTCCCACATTATCTGGACAGTCGGCTCACAGACGGCGGTGAGGTTGTCAGCCTTACGCGCCGACCGCCCTTTACCCCCAAGAATATTCCTGGTACTCATTTCTATTAGAGGCAGAGTCGACCCCAGGACCATAGTGAGGCTGAAAAGGTTAGGTCAATTGAAAAAATCCACATCATCGGGAATCGAACCCGCGAACTTCCAGCTTTTAGCATAGTGCCTCAACCAACTACGCTACCGCGTGCCCCAGATTTATAGATATGTTCACAAATTATGAACATACCGAAAGTAGTTAGTCTTATTATTACACTTAACCAATCATTATCATCAGATCTAAGAATAGCTGTCCATAATGGCACGCAAAAAAATTGTTTATTTTTCATAGATTTTTTACTATACACGTATATATTTTCGTATCTTTAAATTGAATCGATATGATATCGCTTCCACACTGGAACGAAAGTGATTAGTTATTATTATTAAATTTTTCAACAAAACTTTTTGAATTGAAAAAGTCATAAATGTTGGAGCGAGTTTGAGAGATCAACATAAATAGTGTGAGTGGTAAAGATTTCGGAAAGAGCGTCTCATATCCTATTTCAAAGTATCCCACAATTCACAAGGCTAAATTAAGAAAAAACCACCGAAAATCTCAGAACAGTCGGTAAACTATCTGAGATTCCAACCGAGTACTTCAAGAAAAGGTTTTAAGGGCCTCACTGCTACCATCAACCGGTTCAGCATTACGAAACGTGTCCCTGAAAACTTTTGAAAACCTCAGATTACCGGTTTCTCTGATATGACACGGCGAAATTTTTATAGATTACGTACCGAAGTTCCTACACTGAACAGGAAGCAACAAGTTACTCCGAAACACTGGTTTCTATATACCAGACTACATAGCATCACATCCCAGAAACCAGTAATCATAATTTTTACCTCCGTGCGAATGGCAGTAGATACTGTCAGGTTACCTCACCTGCAAGCTCTTCATTGTTGGAGGGTTTCCAGACTGTGGTTAATACCCCAGAACTAACAGGAAATGAATTGCCGTCTCCTTTATATAGGCACTCCAGAAAGGTAACTTGTCCTTCATTCTGTATATGTAAAAATGTTTCAGAAATATTCCTGCACAGTACCTTTGTCCTCAGACACACCTTCTTCACCTTCTGCATGGCGTTTATACAACCCGCCCCGCGCGAAGCTGTTTTCCTTTTGAAGTGACCGTTCATACCACACGATGGTTACAATCCCTTCCGAGTGATTGGCACGCCTGCTCCGTGTTTGTTAGATTCTTCGTGGTTTTCTGAATCGCCCCAGGCAAATACATGGGCAGTACCGCAAGTCAGCAATTCATTATTAAGTAATCACCCTATTATTCGCACTATATAATCAATGAAGACAGTTACAGGGTAAAGCGGCAGGGGCGTGGAGCTGACACTTACTTCCAACTAGTCCCGAGGTCAAGAAAGGTGGAACTATACATCCACTCCCTTATAAGTCTTCATGGCGCGATATTTAATTAATTAAGCACAGGGACAATTTTAATTTTTTTATTGCTAGTGGGGTGGGACTAAGTCCCTTGCACTGCGGCCACTTCTGGCCTATTGTACCAGCCCCAGATGATAGGTGAGGGTGATTGTGGAGCAATTGGTGGAATGAAGATTGGTAGGGGAAACCGAAGTACTCGGAGAAATCCTGCCCCAGCACCACTTTCTCGACCACAAATCCCACTTGACCAGACCCGGGATCGAACCCGGGCCGCCGCGGTGGGAAACCAGCGACTAACCGCTTGAGCTATGGCGCGGCCATTAGGGACAATTTTAACTAACTCACTTCATGGGACTGAGTCCTTCTTGAGAAGTCAACAATTGTGCAGGGACTCAGGAAATTCCCAGCATTTTATGTAACCCGAAAGTTCGTTACCGTGTTCACAAAAGCCCTCCACTGGTCCCTATCCTGAGTCACATCAATCCAGTCCGTACTGCCCCATTCCATCTCTCTAAGATCCATTTTAACATTGTCCGCTCACCTACGTTTTGGACACTAGTGGTCTCTTTCCTTCTGGATTTCCCACCAACATCCTACATTTATTTCTCTTCTCCCCCAATCGTACTACATGCCCTGCCCATTTCATCCTCCTTGACTTGTTCATTCTAATTATCTTCAGCGAGGAGTACAAGTTATGAAGCTCCTTATTATGCAGTTTTCTCCAATCTCCCCTCACTTCATCCAGTGAAAATTTTACTTTCTGAATAAATAAGAGGTACAATTATCCCCGTGCTAAATTAATTAAACACTATGCCATGAAGACGTATGGGGAAGTGGAGGTATGTATCCACTATTCTTAACCTCGGCGTTAGAAGGAGGTGGGTGGTCAGCCTCACGCCTTTGCCACTTTACCCGGGCAAACAGCCCCCCCCCCTGTAGGCATTGTACAGAACGTTAGGTGGGCCCCAGGGCCGTTCTGGATGTTGTAGAAAAGAGTATAGTTTTTGCCCCTACCAGAAATCGAACCCTGATTCCTCGGTCTTTCAGCCCATACCCTAGTCACTGTAGTTGATTCACTAATAATTCTGCACACTGAACAACTTGTTAACTCACTTATTATGCCCCTAATTTATAGCACTTCTGACCGAGTAATTTGCTTACTGTGTAATCAAATAAGATACAAATTAATTTTAACTAATTGGCTTAGTAGTGAGGAACAGAGGTGGTCAAGATGCAAAGATGAAGAGAAAAATCGAACTCCGGTTCCCCAATCGTAATACTGAAGATTGAGTCTATGTTTACCGACATTTCACAGGGACTTGCTGCCTCCATCTTCACAGTATATATTTTTATTTCTTACCAATTGCGGGGTTGACCGCCTTTGTGGTCCAGTGGTCAGAGTTCCTGTCTACAGATCCAAAGGTCGCGGGTTCGATTCCCAGCGCTACCAGATTTTCTGAGAAGTAGTGGGTCTGGAACTGGGTCCGCTCAGCCTCGTGACGATAACTGAGGAGCTATTGCAAGGAAATAGCGGCTCCGGTCTAGAAAACCGAGATTAACGGCCGTGGGGATTCGTTACGCTGACCACGCGACACCCTCTATCCGCTAAAGTTGGCACTAACTTCGCCAACAAGCGGCGGTCGCTCGGTCGTTATAGTTCGTTTGCGGACTAAAGCCACGGATTTTTTTTGTAATTGATAGGTGGGCATATGAAACTTAATATGGAGTCATCGTTGTCATCATCTTCGTCTTGCTAGCTGGCATTACGGTAATGCTCTCAATTTATATTCGGGTGTTGCTCGGTTCGAATACCGGCTGGGACATATACTATCCTGACTGGGGTTTCCCCTCCAGGAAACTGCTAGGATAGTATGTCGATTAGGCCACGACCATTTCCTTTGAGATCCACTCTCATTCATCAGTTATCGTAACGTTTGAAGCTATACAATTTTGGTACTGACGGCTTGCAACCCTCGTTTGGCGGACACAGTGTCACGTTACTTGACATTTCGATCAATCAGTGAGTCATTGGGACCGTCAGTGCATTAGTCAGCCGTTCAGTCCTGCTATCTCGCATTTGAACGTCCACGGATCGAATCCAGAATCCTATTTGCTTTTCTTAAAGCGAATGTGAGCCAGGATAGCGCGGTAGGTATAGCGACTGGCTACGGGCTGGACGGCCGAGGGGTCGGAGTTCGAGTGCCAGTAGGGTCAAGAATTTTCTCTTGTCCACGTCGTCCAAATCGGCTCTGGGGTCCACCCAACCTCCTATCCAATGGGTACCGGAGGCATTCCCCTGGGTGTAAAGGGGCCGGGGCGTCAAACTGACCACTCACCTCAAACTAATGCCGAGGTCAAGAAAATTTGTATCTATATATCCACTCCCCCATACACTTTCGTGGCGTAGTGATTAATTAGTTATCCACAGGGACAAGTTTATTTTACTTAAAGCGAATAAAAGTATTCGACTTCATTTTGGACCATAAGGTATTTATAGACGCTATATCAGAGGGGGAAGAACCGGCATAGCGACTGGGCTAACTGGCTGGACGACCGAGGAAGCGAGATTCGATTCCTGGCAAGAGATTTCTCTCTTCTGCATAGAGTTCAGACCAGATTTGGGACCCACCCAGCCTTCTTTACGATGGATGACGGGAGGCGGGATAGCTCAGTTGGTGTAGCGACTGGCTACGGGCTGGAAGACCGAGGGGTCGGAGTTCGAGTCCCGGGAAGGGCAAAAATTTTCTGTTCTCCATGTCGTCCCGACCGGCTCTGGTGCCCACCTGGCCTTCCTATCCAATGGGTACCGGGGACTCTTTCCCCGGGGGTAAAGCGGCCAGGGCGTAATGTTAACCACTCACTTTCAGGTAGTGCCTAGGTCAAGAAAACATGAATCTATACATTCACTCCCCAATACGTCTTCATAGCGTAGTGATTAATTAGTTAAGCACAGGGGAAATTTGCCTTTTTTACTGGGAATACAGTGGCCGGGTCGTAAAATTGACCAGTCACCTCCGTCTAGTGTCAAGATTAAGAATAGTGGAGCAGTAACTCCACTCCCCCATACGTCTCCATGACTTATTGCACAATTAATTAATTACATACATAGCTTTGTATCAGACGGAATCGCTATATTACGTCGAATGTTATAAATCTATTACGTCTCTGTGGTCTGGTCGTCAGTGTTCCTGGCTACACATTCATAGGTCCCGGGTTCGCGCTACCAGATTTTCTGAGAAATAATGGGTCTGGAACGGGGTCCACTCAGCTACTTGTATGGAAAAGTAGCGGCTCCGGTCTAGAAAACCGAAATTAACGGTCTTGGGAATCCGTTGCGCTGACCACGCGACACCTTCTATCCACTAAACTTGGCACTAACTTCGCCGACAAGCGGCGGTCGCTCGGTCTGTATAGTTAGCTTGCGGAATAAAGCCACGTAGTTTTAAATGCATGATCAAATCCAGTAAAATCTAAAGGCTTGAGGAAGAAGCAGTCGTGACAGATTTTAGTTTAATATCTCGGTATTGACTAGGGGGGAAAAACGTTAGTCAGTTTAGTCGGTGTCCCGACTGAGATTCGAACCCAGTTATCTCCCAAGTATAAGTTTAGTACGTTAACGCTTGACTGAACTTCCAATCTCCTTTTTCCCATCCTTCTCATGTTCACAAACTGCAACGGTTGTTATTCATCTACAGAGGCGTTCGACTTGCAAATGACGATGGAAATAAGCGAACAGCATCTCAGTGTGTTAATATGCAACCTTGGAACTTATACATCCGTTAGCACCTGACCGCAAGGCCGTGTCTCATGTTGTCGTCTTGCTCTGTACAGTGGCTTCTTGCGGTAACTACAGATCAACTGCCGCAACCACAGACAGCTTGTTACGCAACTGATCACATTAGGCACGACTGACGTAGAGAAAGGGAGGGGAAGAAGGAAAATAAAAGATAAAAATATAACAAAAAATTTTAACGGTCTAACGACTCACGATTTAAAATGAATTACATGTAATGCAGTTAAATTTCATTATTTGAATCATTTGTACTCGTCTTCAAAAATGTATTTAGTTCTGGGTTGTCCAATAGATGTCTACCGACGTTTCAGAGAATCGTGGTGCTTCCATCTTCGGTAAAAGGTAAAAAAAGTAACGTTATCCCTATAACAGGCTATGAAGGCTCATTGTGTTGCGAGACGTCGAGGCTCCCACATCTTCTACACATTTGGCTCACAGATGGCGGTTATCAGCCTTACGCGTCGGCCCCCTTTTACGCCACAGGAAGATTCCTTGTACTCACTTCTGTTAAAGGCTGAGTTGAACCCAGGGCCATAGTGCGGCTGAAAGAATTAGGTCAATTGAAAAATTCCACCTCATCGGGACTCGAACCCGCGATCTTCCAGCTTGTAGCATAGTGCCTCTATCAACTACGCTACCACGTACCCATCTTCAGTATCGAAAAATAAATAAAGCAACAAGCAGATACAAACATCCCTTTGCTGGCTTACTTTTCAATGCTGAATTTGGAGAGAAAGCCTTCCACCTAAACATGGGTTGAAATCCTATACGGCGTTACATCCAAGAAAATAATTTGCTTACTTACTTACTCATGGAACTGAGCTCTTCTGGAGGAGCCGCCAATTCTGCAGCTACTCAAGAATTTCCCAGCATTTTATGGAACCCGAAGGTTCATTACCGTGTTCACAACAGCCCTCCACTGGTCCCTATTCTGAGCTAGATCAATCCAATCAATACCATCCCATTCTATCTCTCTAATGTCCATTTTAATATTGTCCACCCACCTACGCCTTGGTCTTCCCAGTGGCTTCTTTCCTTCTGGCTTTCCCGCTAATATCCTATACGCATTCCT